ATTGCCCTGGTAGTGAGTGGCAGCCTGGCTCTGGGGACATGGGGACAATGTGGGGACAATGACAGCATGGGGACAGTGACAGGGACAGTGTGACACAGCCTGGGACAGTGTGACACAGCCCCATTGCCCTGGTAGTGAGCGGCGGCCTGGCTCTGGGGACAGGGACAGGGACAGGGACACTGTGACACTGTGACACTGTGACACAGCCTGGGGACAGCATGGGGACAGTGTGGGGACAGTGTGACACAGCCCAGGGACAGAGTGACACTGCCGGGACATGGGGACAGTGTCACAGGCCTGGGACATGGGGACAGCGTGGGGACAGTGTGACACCCCTGGGACAGTGACACACAGAGCCTGGGGACAGCGCAGGGACAGAGTGACACCGCCGGGACATGGGGACAGTGACACTGCCCCGGGACAGTGTGGGGACAGAGTGACACCCCTGGGACAAGGGGACAGCCCTGGGACACAGCCCAGGACACTGCCACACCTTTGGGACACTGCCACACCTTTGGGACACTGTGACACCCCCGGGCACACCCCGGTCACTGTCACCCCTTGGGGACACCCTGGGGACCCCCAAGTGCCAGCGCTCAGCACTGGGGGGTCCCGAGGGTCTCTCCCAGATCTGGGGGGGTCTCAGGGGTCTTTCCTGGGTTTTCGGGGAGGGTCCTTGATTTTGGGAGGGATCCCAGGGGTCTGTCCCTGGTTTTTGGGGGGTGGTCCCAGATTTTGGGGGGGATCCCAGGGATCTATCCCGGGTTTTTTGGGGATGGTCCCGGGTTTTTGGGGGTGGTCCCAGATTTTGGGGGGGGGTCCCAGTTTTTGGGGGGGGTCCCAGGGGTCTGTCCCTGGTTTTTGGGGGGTGGTCCCGGGTTCTGGGGGGGGTCCCGGGGGTCCCACCTCGGAGTTGAAGCGGATCTGGCAGACGCTGCAGGCGATCACCGGGCGCCGGGGCTTGGCCAGAGCCCCCAGCCCCCCCTTGGGCAGGGCCTCCATCTGGGGGGGGGCACGGGGGGGGGTCAGCACCCCAAAATCACCCAAAAAACCAAAATAACCCCAAAATAAACCCAAAATATCCCCCCAAAATAACCCAAAATATCCTCCCCAAAACACCCCTAAAACCGCCCCCAGCCCCCCCTTGGGCAGGGCCTCCATCTGGGGGGGGGGCACAGAGGGGGGGTCAGCACCCCAAAATAACCAAAATAACCCCAAAATAACCCAAAATAACCCAAAATAACCCAAAATATCCTCCCCAAACCCCCAAAACCGCCCCCAGCCCCCCCTTGGGCACGGCTTCCATCTGGGGGGGGGCACGGGGGGGGGTCAGCACCCCAAAATAACCAAAATAACCAAAATAATCCCAAAATAACCCCCCCAAAAAACCCAAAACACCCCCAAAAATCAGCACCCCCCTTTCCGTTCCCGTTCCCGTTCCGTAGCGCCTCAGGAATCCCGCCCTGCCCAAGCCCGGGGGACCGGGAGGGACCGGGAGGGAACCGGGACCGCCCCCACCCCCGGCTGGGGGGAATTTGGGGGTCCCGGGATCCTCCCCGGGTGATTTTGGGGGTCCCGGGATCCCCCCCGAGAGGTTTTGGGGGTCCCGGGGGTGATTTTGGGGGTCCCGGTGGGGTTTTGGGGGTCCCGGGGCATTTTGGGGGTCCCGGTGGGGTTTTGGGGGTCCGGGACCGCCGGTTCGGGGTGGGGGGGGTGGAACGGGGGGGGGCGGGGGGGGTCCCGGTACGGCGGCCGGGAGGGGGCGGGGCCGCTCCGTGTCCCCCCCACCCCACCCCCCCCGGACCCCGCGCGCCCCTCGCGGCCACGGGAGCGAAACCCCCGGAACCCCCCCCGGGCCCGGGACCCCCAAAATCAGCCCCGGGACCCCCCAAAAACACCCCCAGGAACACCCCGGGACCTCCTCGGGACCCCCCCCCCCCCTAATCCCGAGCACCGGGACCCCCGAACCCCCCGGGCCCGGGACCCCCGAAACAGCCCCCCAAGACCCCCAAAACACCCCCGGGACCCCCTCGGAACCTTCTCGGGACCCCTCCCCATTTCGAGCACCGGCACCCCCGAACCTTTCGGTACCGAAATCCCCGAACCCCCCCGGGCCGGGACCCCCAAAACACCCCCGGGACCCCCAAAACACCCCCGGGACCCCCCCAGCCCTGTCCGGGACCCTCCCGGGACCCCCTCCCCCAATCCCGAGCACCGGCACCCCCGAACCCTCCGGTACCGAGATCCCCGAAACCCCCCCGGGCCGGGACCCCCGAAACAGCCCCGGGACCCCCTAAACACCCCCGGGACCCTCCCGGGACCTCCTCGGGACCCCTTCCCCAATCCCGAGCACCGGCACCCCCGAACCCTCCGGTACCGGCGCCCCCCGAACCGCGGCCGGGCTCAGCCCCGCATCTCCCCCGGCCCCGCCGGTCCCGGTTCCCCCCGCTTCCCCCCGCTTTCCCCCGTCCCTCCGCGGCCCCGGGCCCGCTCCGCTCCCCGGTTCTCCCCCGGTTCTTTCCCCGGTTCCCGGCCCCGCTCACCGCGGGCAGCGGCGGCAGCAGCCGGAGCGCGGCGGCGGCGGCGGCGGCGGCGTCGGGCAGGAGGAGGCGGCCGGGGGGCGGCCCCAGCGGCGGCCCCGGGGCCCGCAGCATCGCCCTGCGCCGGGGGGGGGGTCACGGGGGGCGCGGGACCCCCGGAACGGCCCCCAGGGACCCCCCCCCGGACCCCCCCCCCACCCCGTTCCGGTCCCGGTTCCTCCGCGGGGTCCCCGGCCCGCACCGGGGGATGCGGGGGGGGCGCTGGGGGAGCTGCGGGACACCGGGACCCCCCGGGACCCCCTCAGGACCCTCAGAACCCCCCCGGGACCCTCAGAACCCCTCCGGGACCCCCCGGGACCCCCTCAGGACCCTCAGAACCCCCCCGGGACCCCCCGGGACCCCCTCCCGCCGCCCCCGCGCGTTCCCGGGTCCCTCCCGGGGGTCCCCGCACCGGAGGATGGAGGCGTTGGGGGGGGGGGGGGGGGGGCTGAGCTCCTCGGGACCCCCCCCCCCCCCCGAGGGCCTGGACCCCCAAACCCCAAAGGCCCCAAACCCCCAAAGACCCCAAATTCCAAACCCCAAATCCCCCAAATCGCAACCCCCCCAAACCCGAAATCCCGAAAATCCCAAACCGCAAACCCCAAACCCCAAACGCCGAAAATCCCAAACCCGAAATCCTCCAGACCCCAAAGACCCCAGACCCCCCAAACCCCAAATCCCCCAAACCCCCCAGACCCCAATCCCCAGCCCCCCTCTCTGCGTTATTTGGGGGGGGTCTCCGTTACCTGCGGGCCCCCCCGGCCGCTGTCGCGCGCGGCCCTGCGGGGCTGTCCCTGCGTGTCCCCCCCCCTGCCCGTGTCCCCCCCCCCCCTCCTCGGTGTCCCCCCCCCGTGTCCCCTCCCCCCTCGGGGGCTCGGCCAATGGCGGCGCTCGGAACTGGGGCACGGGGGGGGGGAGGGGAGGGGGCGGGGCCTCCCCGCGCGTGTCGCGCCCCACGCGTGTCCCCTCCCCCCACCGCGCGTGTCCCCTCCCCCCGTTCCCCTCCCCCCCTCCCGGACCCCCCCCCCCCCAATCCCGGTTCTGTGCCCCCCCCCCCGTTCCCCTCCCCCCGCGCTCGCTCACGTCCACGCGCGCGCGTCCCCGCGTCCGTCCGTCCGTCCCGCGCGCGCGCCCCCCCCCCCCCCCCCGTGCGCGTGCGCGCGGCGGGCGGGGTCGCGCACGTGTCGGGACACGCGCGCGCGGGGGCGGGGGGAGGGGCGGCAGACACACCCCGGGAGCGTGGGAACCGAGGGGGCGGGGGGGGAGGGGGGGGACACGGGGGGCGGGGACCCCAAAAATCACAGAGCCCAAAAATCCAGGGAACCCAAAATTCTGAGAGCCCAAAACTGGGAGAACACAAAATTCAGGTAACCCAAAATTCAGGGAACCCAAAATTCTGAGATCCCAAAATTGGGAGAACACAAAATTCAGGTAACCCAAAATTCAGGGAACCCAAAATTCTGAGATCCCAAAGTTCAGAGAGCCCAAAATTCGGAGAACACAAAATCTGAGACCCCAAAATTGTGAGACCCCAAAATTCACAGACCCCAAAAATCAGAGCCCCCAAAAATCCAGAGTCCCCCAAATTCAGAGAACACAAAATTCAGGGAACACAAAATTCAGAAACTCCAAAATCCAGAGACCCCAAATTCAGAGGATCCCAAAATTCAGAGACCCCAAAAATCCAGGGACCCCAAAATTTCGGAGAACCTAAAATCCAGAGAACCCAAAATTTAGAGACCCGAAATTCAGAGAACACAAAATCTAGAAACCCCAAAATCAGAGAACCCAAAATTCAGAGACCCCACATTCAGAGGCCCCGAAGTCAGGGCCCCAAAAATCCAGAAATCCCCAAAATCCAGAGTCTCCAAAACTCTGAGAACCCAAAATCCAGGGAACTCAAAATTCAGAAACTCCAAAATCTAGAGAACCCAAATTCAGAGAACACAAAATTCAGAAACCCCAAAAATCCAGGGACCCCAAAATTCGGAAAACTCAAATTCAGAGCACACAAAATTCAGGGACCCCAAATATCCAGGGACCCCAAAATCCAGAAATCCCAAAAATCCAGGGACCCCAAAAGTCAGAGAACCCAAAATTCGGAGAACCCAAATTCAGGGCCCCCAAAATTCAGGACCCCCAGGGACCCCACAATCCAGAAATCCCAAAATCCTGAGAGAACCCAAATTCCGATATTCCGAAATTCAGGGAACCCAAAATCCAGAGACCCCAGAGAGACCCCACAGAATGCGCTGGGTCTCTGGATTTTGGGGTCCCTGGATTTTGGAATATCGGAATTTGGGTTCTCTCAGGATTTTGGGATTTCTGGATTTTGGGGTCTCTGATTTTGGGGTCTCTGGATTTTGGATTCTCTGGATTTTGGGGTCTCTGGATTTTGGGGTCACTGAATTTTGGATTCTCTGGATTTTGGGGTCTCTGGATTTTGGATTCTCTGGATTTTGGATTCTCTGGATTTTGGGGTCACTGAATTTTGGATTCTCTGGATTTTGGGTTCTCTGATTTTGGGGTCTCTGGATTTTGGATTCTCTGGATTTTGGATTCTCTGGATTTTGGGGTCTCTGATTTTGGATTCTCTGGATTTTGGGGTCTCTGGATTTTGGGGTCACTGAATTTTTGGATTCTCTGGATTTTGGGGTCTCTGATTTTGGATTCTCTGGATTTTGGGGTCACTGGATTTTGGATTCTCTGGATTTTGGGGTCTCTGATTTTGGATTCTCTGGATTTTGGGGTCTCTGAATTTTGGATTCTCTGGATTTTGGCGTCTCTGATTTTGGGGTCTCTGATTGTGGATTCTCTGGATTTTGGGGTCTCTGATTTTGGGGTCTCTGGATTTTGGATTCTCTGGATTTTGGATTCTCTGGATTTTGGGGTCTCTGATTTTGGATTCTCTGGATTTTGGGGTCTCTGGATTTTGGGGTCACTGAATTTTTGGATTCTCTGGATTTTGGGGTCTCTGGATTTTGGATTCTCTGGATTTTGGGGTCTCAGATTTTGGGGTCTCTGGGGGTGCTGCGGGCGCTGCCCCCCCCCAGCAGCTCGGTGGTGTTTGGGGGACCGGGGGGGGGGGTCAATGATCGGTGAATTATCAATGAATTATCAGTGAATTATCATAAATTATTGATGAATTATTGGTGAATTACCCGTGAATTATCCGTGAATTGCTGATGAATGATCGATGAATTATTGTGAATTATTGATGAATTATCGGTGAATTATCGGTGAATTATCGGTGAATTATCCGTGAGTTACTGATGAATGATCGATGAATTATTGATGAACCATTAATGAATGATTGATGGCTCCATCATTAATTATTGACACCGGACGAGTCCCGGCTGCTAATGAGGTGTAATTGAGCCCCGGCAGTGTCCGGGGGCAGCGGCCGTGACCGCCGCGGTGGCACCGTGTCCCCAAGTGTGTCCCCGTGTCCCTGTGTCCCCGTGTGTGTCCCTCTGTGTGTCCCATTGTCACCATGTCCCCTTGTCACCATGTCCCCGTGTCCCTTTGTGTGTCCCCGTGTGTGTCCCCTTGTCACCGTGTCCCCAAGTGTGTCCCCATGTCCCTCTGTCCCCTTGTGTGTCCCTGCGTGTGTCCCTGTGTGTGTCCCCTTGTCACCGTGTCCCCTTGTCACCATGTCCCCATGTCCCCTGTCCCTGTGTGTGTCCCTGTGTCCCTGCGTGTCTCCCCTGTCCCCATATCCCTGTGTCCCCTGTCCCTTTGTGTGTCCCCTTGTCACCGTGTCCCCGTGTCCCTTGTCCCTGGGTCCCCGTCCCTGTGTCCCCAAGTGTGTCCCCATGTCCCTGTGTCCCTGTGTGTGTCCCCGTGTGTGTCCCTCTGTGTGTCCCCTTGTCACCGTGTCCCCATGTCCCTGTGTGTGTCCCCTGTCCCTGTGTCCCCAAATGTGTCCCTGTGTGTGTCCCCTTGTCACTGTGTCACCGTGTCCCTGTCCCTGTGTCCCCTGTCCCTCTGTGTCCCCCTGTCACCGAGTCCCCTGTCCCTCTGTATGTCCCTGTGTCCCCGTGTCCCCCATCCCTCTGAGTGTCCCTGTGTCCCCAAATGTGTCCCTGTGTGTCCCCATGTCCCTGCGTCCCTGAGTGTGTCCTTGTCCCTCTGTGTGTCCCCTTGTCACCGTGTCCCCAAATCCCTGTGTCCCTCTGTGTCCAAGTGTGTCCCCATCCCTCTGTGTCCCCATGTCCCCCTGTCCCTGTGTGTGTCCCCTTGTCACCGTGTCCCCGTGTCCCTTGTCCCTCTGTCCCTGTCCCAGTGTCCCCAAGTCTGTCCCCTGTCTGTCTGTGTGTCCCACTGTCACTGTGTCACCGTGTCTGTCCCCTGTCCCCGTGTGTGTCCCCCTGTCCCCGTGTCCCCCTGTCCATGTGTGTCCCCATATCCTCATGTCCCCCTGTCCCTGAGTGTCCCTGTGTCCCCTGTCCCTGTGTCCCCAAATGTGTCCCCCCTGTTCCCAAATGTCCCCCCTTGTCCCCAAGTGTCCCCTCGTGTGCCCGATATCCCCGTGTGTGTCACCCTGTCCCCCCTCGTGTCCCCATGTGTGTCCCCAGGGTCCCTGTGGGTCAGACTCGTTTATTGGGGGGCCCCGAGGCCGCCCCCCCCCCATAATTAAATACAAACCGAAGCCACGCCCCCCCTGCCCCTCCCCCCCCCGCCATAGTGCAAACCCCCCGTGACACCGGGGACACCTTGGGGACACTTGGGGACACCCCAGGACACCCTGGGACACCTCGGGGACACTTGGGGACACCTTGGGGACACTTGGGGACACCCTGGTGACACCTTGGGGACACCGGGGCCGGGCTGTGCCCCCAGCTCGGGGTCAGTGCAAAGTGAGGTGCCCGGGGGGGGGCGGGCAGTGCAGGGAGGGGACACCGGGTGGCATTGGGTGACAGGGGGTGGCAGAGGGTGGCACTGGGGGACAGCGTCCCCGGGTCACGCTGGGACAGGGTGACACCGTCCCCAGGTGCCACCCAGGTCCTGTCCCGGGTGAGGTGACAGCGCTGGGGACACGTCCCGGTGTCACACAGGTGTCACACAGGTGTCCCCATGGTGTCCCCATGGTGTCCTGGTGTCCCCGTGGTGTCCCTGTAGTGTCCCTGTGTCCCCTGCAGTGTCCGTGGCGGTGCCAGCTCGGTGTCACCCATGTGCCACCAGTTCCCAGTCCCGTGGTGACAATTCCCAGTCCAATGGTGACAGTTCCCACTGGTGACAATTCCCACTGGTGGTGACAATTCCCACTGGTGACAATTCCCAGTCCTGTAGTGACAGTTCCAGGTCCAGTGGTGACAGTTCCTGCTGGTGACATTTCCCGGTCCGCTGGTGACAATTCCTGGTTGTTCCCAGTCCGGGGTTCCCAGTTTGGTGTCCCCAAACCGGTGGTGGCAGCTGTGCCTTGGGGACACGTCCTGGTGCAGCGCGGTGACAGTTCCTGGGACAGTGTCCCCAAGGCAGTGACAGTTCTGTGACAGTGTCCTGAGCCTGATGACAGTGTCCCCAGCCCGGTGACAGTTCCTGGGACAGTGTCCCCAGCGCAGTGACAGTTCTGTGATTGTGTCCCCAGCCCGGTGACAGTTCATGGGACAATGTCCCCAGCTTGGTGACAGTTCCTGGGACACTGTCCCCAGCCCGGTGACAGTTCATGGGACAATGTCCCCAGCTTGGTGACAGTTCCTGGGACAGTGTCCCCAGCGCAGTGACAGTTCTGTGATTGTGTCCCCAGCCCGGTGACAGTTCATGGGACAATGTCCCCAGCCTGGTGACAGTTCATGGGACACTGTCCCCAGCCCGGTGACAGTTCTGTGGGGGCGGGTGGGCGCCGTGGGTGTCCCCAGCTGGGGGCGTGGAGTGGGGGATGTCACCGGCGCGGGTGACATTGGCCGTGCGGGTGACATTGGCAGTGTAGGGTCCCCAGCACTGGGGACATCCCTGGCCATGCAGGTGACACCGCTGCTGCAGGTGACATTGTCCTTGTAGGGTCCCCAGCCGTGCAGGTGACACTGTCCTTGCGGGGGTCCCCAAGCCCTGGAGGTGTCCCCAAGCCATGGGGATGTCCCCAAGCCGTGGGATGTCCTGAAGCCATGGATGTCCCCAGGCCATGGAGTGTCCCCAAGCCCTGGGGTGTCCCTGTCACCGCAGGGTCCCCGGCCATGCATGTCCCCAGCCATGAGGGTCCCCAGCATGGGGACAGGGTGTCCCTGTCACCGCAGGGTCCCCGCCATGGGACAGCGTGTCCCTGTCACCGCAGGGTCACCGCCGTGGGGACAGGCTGTCCCCAGCTGTCACCGCAGGGTCCCCGCCATGGGACAGGGTGTCCCTGTCACCGCAGGGTCCCCAGCATGGGGACAGGCTGTCCCTGTCACCGCGGGGTCCCCGCCGTGGGGACAGGCTGTCCCTGTCACCGCAGGGTCCCCGCCATGGGACAGGGTGTCCCTGTCACCGCAGGGTCCCCAGCATGGGGACAGGCTGTCCCTGTCACCGCAGGGTCCCCGCCGTGGGGACAGGGTGTCCCTGTCACCGCAGGGTCCCCAGCATGGGGACAGGCTGTCCCTGTCACCGCAGGGTCCCCGCCGTGGGGACAGGGTGTCCCTGTCACCGCAGGGTCCCCAGCATGGGGACAGCGTGTCCCTGTCACCGCAGGGTCACCGCCGTGGGGACAGGCTGTCCCCAGCTGTCACCGCGGGGTCCCCTCAGGCCTCGGAGGCCGCCTGGGGTTTCAGCTGCGCCTTCTCCATGGCGGTGCCGTAGGGCCCCGAGCGCTTGAAGAACCCCAGCTGGGGGGACACGGGGGGACAGGGGGGGACAGGGGGGGACAGGGGGGGTCAGGGGGACCCCGAAACGCCCCCGGGACCCCCCAGTGCCACCCCGTGTCCCTGTGTCCACCCTGAGTGTCCCCTGGGCTCACTGTGTCCCCTGTGTCCCCCCAAAAGCCCCCAGTGTGTCCCCAGTGCCCCCAGTGTCCCCAATGCCCCCAGTGTCCCTCAGTGTCCCCAGTGTCCCTCAGTGTCCCCAATGCCCCCAGTGTCCCCAGTGTCCCTCAGTGTCCCTCAGTGTCCCCAATGTCCCCCGTGTCCCCAGTGTCCCCAGTGTCCCCAGTGTCCCTCAGTGTCCCCAATGCCCCCAGTGTCCCCAGTGTCCCCAGTGTCCCTCAGTGTCCCCAATGCCCCCAGTGTCCCCAGTGTCCCTCAGTGTCCCCAGTGTCCCCAATGCCCCCAGTGTCCCCAGTGTCCCCAGTGTCCCTCAGTGTCCCCAATGTCCCCAGTGCCCCCAGTGTCCCTCAGTGTCCCCAGTGTCCCCAGTGTCCCCCAGTGCCCCCCAGCCCCCCAAGCTCCTCATCCCCACCTTGCAGAAGCCCCCAGACCCCTTTGACCCCCTCAAATCCCCCCAGGCCCCCTTGTAGAGACTCCCCAGACCCCCCAAATCCCCCCAGATCCCCCCCGGACCCTCCAACCCCACCTTGCAGAGCCCCCCCAGATCCCCTCCGGAGCCCCCAAATCCCCCCAGACCCCCCAAGCCCCCCCTTGTAGAGCCCCCCCAGCCCCCTGTGACCCCCCAAATGCCCCCAGCCCCCCCTTGTAGAGCCCCCCCAGCCCCCTCTGACCCCCCAAATGCCCCCAGCCCCCCCTTTTCGAGCCCCCCCCGACCCCTTTGACCCCTCCAGCCCCCCCCAAATCCCCCCAGAGCCCCCCCAAATCCCCCCCAGTTGCCCCCAGCCCCACTTTGTAGAGCCCTCCCAGACCCCCCCAGCCCCCTGCGACCCCCCCAGACCCCCCAAATCCCCCCAGCTGCCCCCAGCCCCACCTTGTAGAGGCCGTAGCAGAGGAGGCCGAGCAGGAGCAGCCCCAGGAGCACGGCCAGGACCACCGCCCACACCGGGACCCCCCCCGCCCGCCTCGGGCCGGGCCCGCGACAGCGCCGTCACCACCTGGGGACAGGGACAGTGTCACCCACAGTGTCACACAGTGCCACCCTGTGTCACCCACAGTGTCACCCACAGTGTCACCCTGTGTCACACAGTGCCACCCACAGTGTCACACAGTGCCACCGCCCACACCGGGACCCCCCCGCCCGCCTCGGGCCGGGACCGTGACAGCGCCGTCACCTCCTGCCACCCCAGACCTCAGCGTCACCCACGGTGTCACCCCAAACAGCCCCGTCCCCTCCATGTCCCCCCACAATGTCCCCAATGTCCCCTCAGTGTCACCTGCAGCCGGTGCTGGGGGTGGCTGTCCGGCCGCACTCTGTACGGCAGCTGTGACACCCCCAGTGTCCCCAATGTCCCCAATGTCCCCAATGTCCCCAGTGTCCCCAATGTCCCCTCAGTGTCCCCAGTGTCCCCAATGTCCCCAATGTCCCCAGTGTCCCCAATGTCCCCCCATGTCCCCCCATGTCCCCAGTGTCCCCAATGTCCCCAATGTCCCCAGTGTCCCCAATGTCCCCAATGTCCCCCCATGTCCCCAGTGTCCCCAGTGTCCCCAGTGTCCCCAGTGTCCCCAATGTCCCCCCATGTCCCCAGTGTCCCCAGTGTCACCTGCAGCCGGTGCCGGGGGTGGCTGTCCGGCCGCACTCTGTAGGGCAGCTGTGACACCCCCAGTGTCCCCAATGTCCCCATGTCCCCTCAGTGTCCCCAATGTCCCCAGTGTCCCCAGTGTCCCCAGTGTCCCCAATGTCCCCCCATGTCCCCAGTGTCCCCAGTGTCACCTGCAGCCGGTGCCGGGGGTGGCTGTCCGGCCGCACTCTGTACGGCAGCTGCAGCACGCGGAACTCGGCGTCACAGCGCAGGGACAGCGGCCACAGCTCCCGCTGGGACAGGGACAGTGTCGGTGTCACGGGGACACACAGGGGACAGTGTCAGTTCACGGGGACACACAGGGACACACAGGGGACAGTGTCGGTGTCACGGGGACACACACAGGGACAGTGTCAGTTCACGGGGACACACAGGGACACACAGGGGACAGTGTCGGTGTCACGGGGACACACAGGGACACACAGGGACAGTGTCGGTGTCACGGGGACACACACGGGGACAGTGTCAGTTCACGGGGACACACAGGGACACACAGGGGACAGTGTCGGTGTCACGGGGACACACAGGGACACACAGGGACACACAGGGACACACAGGGACACACAGGGGACAGTGTCAGTTCACGGGGACACACAGGGACACACAGGGACACACAGGGGACACACAGGGGACACACAGGGACACAGGGGACAGTGTCAGGGACACAGGGACACACAGGGACACACAGGGGACAGTGTCGGTGTCACGGGGACACACAGGGACACACAGGGGACAGTGTCGGTGTCATGGGGACACACACGGGGACAGTGTCAGTGTCACGGGGACACACAGGGGACATGGGGGGACACACAGGGACACACAGGGGACACACAGGGACACACAGGGGACAGTGTCAGTGTCACAGGGACACACAGGGGACACAGGGGGACACACAGGGGACAGTGTCAACGTCACAGGGACACACAGGGACACAGGGACACACACGGGGACACAGGGGACACGGGGCACAGTGTCACAGGGACACACAGAGACAGTGTCAGTGTCACGGGGACACACAGCGGACACAGGGGACAGTGTCAGTGCCACCGGCACATGTGGGGACATCCCCCAGTGTCAATGGGGCACACAGGGTTCACCCAAGGGTTGCTCCAGGGGAATCTTGGGGGGTCCTGGGCTGTTTTGGGGTCCCAAGGCCGCTTTCGGGTCCCCAGGGGGGTCCCGGGGGTGTCCCAGGGTGTTTTGGGGTCCTGGGGCTGTTTTGGGGTCTCGGGGGGGTTTTGGGGTCCCGGGGCTGTTTTGGGGTCTGGGGGGGGTTTTGGGGTCCCGGGGCTGTTTTGGGGTCCCGGGGGGGGTTTTGGGGTCCCGGGGCTGTTTTGGGGTCCCGGGGCTGTTTTGGGGTCTCGGGGGGGTTTTGGGGTCCCGGGGCTGTTTTGGGGTCTGGGGGGGGTTTTGGGGTCCCGGGGGGGTTTGGGGTCCCGGGGGGGTTTGGGGTCTCACCTGTCGCGGGGGGGGGCTCCTGATGCGGAAGCCCAGGCGCAGGGTCACGCGCTGCTGCCGCTGCAGCGCCCCCGAGGGGCAGCGCAGCCGGAAACACTCGGCCTCGGGACACGCCTGGGGCCGGGACACGCGCGGGGTCACCGCGGGGTCACCGCGGGGCACCATGGGCCACCACGGCCACCCCCGGGGTCACCATGGGCCACCACGGGCCACCATGAGCCACCATGGGCCACCATGGGCCACCATGGCCACCCCCAGAGTCACCATGGGCCACCATGGGCCACCACGGCCACCCCCGGGGTCACCATGGCCACCCCCAGAGTCACCATGGGCCACCATGGGCCACCACGGCCACCCTCGGGGTCACCATGGCCACCCCCAGGGTCACCGCAGGTCACCACGGGTCACCATGGGCCACCCTCGGGGTCACCATGGCCACCCCCGGGGTCACCATGGCCACCCCCAGAGTCACCATGGGCCACCATGGGCCACCACGGGGCACCATGAGCCACCATGGGCCACCATGGGCCACCACGGGTCACCACGGCCACCCCCGGGGTCACCAGGGCCACCCCCAGAGTCACCACGGGCCACCATGGCCACTCCCGGGGTCACCGTGGGGTCACCATGGGACACCACGGGTCACCATTGGTCACCTCCGGTCACCCCCCAAGCCACCCCCATGTCACCACGGGTCACCCCCCAGTCACCCCCAGGTCATCCCTGGTCACTGCTGGTCATCTCCTGTCACCCCTGGTCACCCTCAATCGCCACTGGCCGCTCTTGGGTCATCCCTGGGTCACCCCTGGTCACCCTTGGTCACCATTGGTCACTCCTGGGTCATCCCTGGGTCACCCCCTGGGTCACCACTGGTCACTCTTGGTCACTCTTGGTCACTCTGGTCACCCCCCCCACCACCCCCCGGTGTCACCGCAGCGCCCCCGCCCTGGGGACACTCGGGACAGTCCCGTGCGTGTGGCAGGGACAAGGGGACGGTGACACTCACCAGGCTGTCCCCAGTGTCCCCACTGTCCCCTGACTGTCGGGACAGTCCCGTGCGTGTGGCAGGGACAAGGGCACGGTGACACTCACCAGGCTGTCCCCAGTGTCCCCACTGTCCCCGGTGTCCCGGCGCTGCAGCACGTGGGGACCCGGGCCCTGCTCCCGCTCCTGCAATGGGGACAGGGGACAGTGCTGGGGACAGGGCTGGGGACATGGGGACAGCGCTGGGGACACAGGGACAGGGCTGGGGACACGGCTGGGGACAGCCCTGTGCCAGCCACCCCCGACACCTCCCGATGTCCCCAGTGCCACCAGTGTCCTCTATGTCCCAAACGTCCCCAGTGCCACCAGTGTCCCCAGTGTTCCCAGTGTCCCCAGTGCCCCCAAGTCTCCCCAATGTCCCCATTGTCCCCACCGTCCCTCGTGTCCCCATTGTCCCCATTACCCCCATTACCCCCATTGTCCCCCCTGTCCTCAATGTCCCCGCTGTCCCCAGTGTCCCCATTATCCCCAATGTCCCCATTGCCCCCAATGTCCCCCGTGTCCCCAATGTCCCCCCGGTTCCTCCTTGTCCCCATTGTCCCCATTATCCCCGTTGCCCTCCCTGTTCCCGTTGTCCCCATTACCCCCACTGTCCCCAATGCCCCTGTTGTCCCCGTTGCCCCCACTGTCCCCCCTGTCCCCCTGTCCCCATTGCCCCCATTGTCCCCGCTGTTCCCATTGCCCCCATTGTCCCCGCTGTCCCCAATGTCCCCATTACCCCCCCGTCCCCAATGTCCCCCCTGTCCCCACTGCCCCCAATGTCCCCCCTGTCCCCATTGCCCCCATTGTCCCTGCTGTCCCCATTGTCCCCGCTGTCCCCATTATCCCCATTGTCCCCACTGTCCCCGTTGCCCCCACTGTCCCCCCGTTGTCCCCGCTGTCCCCACCAGCCCCAGGGGGTCGCTGCCGTGGCTGGCCGTGCAGTTGTGCAGCCCCTCGTGGCCGGTGACGTAGAGCAGGGGGTGGCCGCGGTGGCCCAGGGGACAGCTGAGCTCCAGCGTGCCCTGGCTGATGGCGCCGGGACCCTCGTTCACCACCTGGGGACACGGGGGGACACGGGGGGACACGGGGTCAGGACACGGGGACACGGGGGGACACCCCCAGGGCAATGGGACCCTCGTTCACCACCTGGGGACACGGGGGGACACGGGGTCAGGACACGGGGGGACACCCACAGGGTGGGGACACGGGGGGACACGGGGTCAGGACATAGGGACACGGGGTCAGGGCATGGGGGGACACGGGGGGACACCCACAGGGTGGGGACACGGGAACATGGGGTCAGGGCATGGGGACATGGAGGGGACACGGGGTCAGGACATGGGGACACGGGGGGACACCCCCAGGGCAATGGGACCCTCGTTCACCACCTGGGGACACGGGGGGACATGGGGTCAGGACATGGGGACACGGGGTCAGGACATGGGGACATGGGGTCAGGACATGGGGACACGGGATGGGGACAAGGGGACCCCCAGGGCTCGGGGATGGGGGGACAGCCCCGATTTGGGGACATGGGAACCCCAGGGTTGGGGACATTGTGACCCCAGGATTGGGGACACAAAGACCCCCGGGGTTTGGGGACATTGTGACCCTCAGGTTTGGGGACACAGTGACCCCAGGTTGAGGACATTGTGACCCCTAGATTGAGGACACAGAGACCCCGGGTTTGGTGACATTGTGACCCCGGGTTGGGGACAGGTGTCCCGCGTGTCCCCATCCCAGGTTGGGGACATTGTGACCCTAGGGTTGGTGACATTGTGACGTGAGTTGGGGACAGGTGCCCCGCGTGTCCCCATCCCAGGGTTGGTGACATTGTGACCCCAGGGTTGGTGACATTGTGACCCGGGTTAGGGACACAGGTGTCCCACGTGTCCCCATCCCAGGGTTGGTGACATTGTGACCCGGGTTGGGGACAGCTGTCCCGCGTGTCCCCAGCCCGGGTTTGGGGACATTGTCACCCCGGGGTTGGGGACATTGTCACCCGCATGTCCCCACCTCGTAGACGTGCTCCACGGGTGGCCCCAGGTCCTGCAGCCGCTGGGGGGGGTCGGGTCCCCACCCCCCCTCGGGGATGGTGACAACGTCGGGCCGGGACACCCTGAGGGGACACCGGGGGGGACAGCGCTGTGTGTCACCTCCTGTCCCCTCCGTGTCCCCTCCGTGTCACCTCCATATCCCTTTCATGTCCCCTCCGTGCCCTGTTGTGTCCCCTGTGCGTCCCCTTGGTGTCACTCAGAGGCTCTGTCAGTGTCCCCATGTCCCCTGTTGATGTCCCCAGTGTCACTCACCCCAGCACAGACACCCTGGCTGTCCCTGTCAGTGTCCCCATGCTGTCCCCATTGTCCCCATTGTCCCCATTGTCACTCACCCCAGCACGGACACCCTGGCTGTCCCTGTCAGTGTCCCCATGCTGTCCCCATTGTCCCCATTGTCACTCACCCCAGCACGGACACCCTGGTTGCCCGGTGTCCCCATTGTCCCCAATGTCCCCAATGTCCCCATTGTCACTCACCCCAGCACGGACACGCTGGCTGTCCCTGTCAGTGTCCCCATGCTGTCCCCATTGTCCCCATTGTCCCCATTGTCACTCACCCCAGCACGGACACCCTGGTTGCCCGGTGTCCCCATTGTCCCCAATGTCCCCAATGTCCCCATTGTCACTCACCCCAGCACGGACACGCTGGCTGTCCCTGTCAGTGTCCCCAGGCTGTCCCCAATGTCCCCAATGTCCCCATCATTGTCACTCACCCCAGCACGGACACCCTCATTGCCCTGTCAGTGTCCCCATGTCCCCAGGCTGTCCCCAATGTCCCCATGTCCCCATCGCTGTCACTCACCCCAGCATGGACACCCTCATTGCCTGGTGGCCCCAGTGTCCCCTGGCTGTCCCCATTGTCCTCTGTGTGTCCCCATGCTGTCCCCAATGTCACTCACCCCAGCATGGACACCCTGGCTGTCCCTGTCAGTGTCCCCAGGCTGTCCCCATTGTCCCCAGTGTGTCCCCATGTCCCCATGCTGTCCCATCACTGTCACTCACCCCAGCATGGACACCCTGGTTGCCCTGTCAGTGTCCGCAGTGTCCCCATTGTCCCCAATGTCCCCATGCTGTCCCATCATTGTCACTCACCCCAGCACGGACACCCTCATTGCCTGGTGTCCCCAGTGTCCCCTGGCTGTCCCCAATGTCCCCAATGTCCCCTGGCTGTCCCCATTGTCCCCAGTGTGTCCCCATGTCCCCTGTTGGTGTCACTCACCCCAGCACGGACACCCTCGTTGCCTGGTGTCCCCATTGTCCCCTGGCTGTCCCCATTGTCCCCAATGTCCCCTGTTGGTGTCACTCACCCCAGCACGGACACTCTGGTCGCCGCCCTCACCGCCAGCGCCACGGGCACCACGGCGCTCTGCGAGTTGTTGGCGTTCTTGCTGCGGGGGGGGCAGGGGGGGTCACGGCCCGGAGCCCCCCAGGGACCCCCGACCCCCATTGGGGACCCCCGACCCCCATTGGGGACCCCCAGGGACCCCCGACCCCCATTGGGGACCCCCGACCCCCATTGGGGACCCCCAACCCCTTTAGGGACCCCCAACCCCTTTAGGGACACCCCCAGGGACCCCCGACCCCGATTTTGGGGTGCCCCCCCCGTGCCCCCATTTCGGGGCGCCCCCATTTCGGGGCGCCCCCATTTCGGGGTGCCCCCATTTCGGGGTGCCCTCATTTCGGGGTTCCCCCATTTCGGGGTTCCCTCATTTCGGGGCTCTCCCATTTCGGGGTTCCCCCATTTCAGGGCGCCCCCATTTCGGGGCTCTCCCATTTCGGGGTGCCCCCATTTCGGGGCGCCCCCATTTCGGGGTTCCCCCATTTTGGGGTTCCCTCATTTCGGGGCGCCCCCATTTCGGGGTTCCCCCCATTTCGGGGTTCCCTCATTTCGGGGTTCCCTCATTTCGGGGTTCCCCCATTTCGGGGTGCCCCCATTTCGGGGTTCCCCCATTTCGGGGTGCCCCCATTTCGGGGTTCCCTCATTTCGGGGCGCCCCCATTTCGGGGCGCCCCCATTTCGGGGCGCCCCCATTTCGGGGCGCCCCCAGCCCCACCTGCGGATCTGCAGCTCGAACCGGACGCTGCTGCTGTTGTCGCTCAGGTGGGGGAGGGTGAAGCGCAGCCCCCCCCAAATCTGTGGGTGGGGGTGGGGGGGGTCAGCCGGGACCCCCCCCCCCCCCAAACCCCCCAAAACCCCCGGAGCCCCCCCAAACCCCCCTAAAGCCCCCCAAAATCCCCCAAATCCCCTCAAGATCCACCCAGACTGCCCCGAACCCCCCAAATTCCCCCAAAACCCTCACAAATACCCCCCAAAACCCCCCAAAACCCCCTCCAGACCCCCCAGACCCCCACAAAACTCAAATCCCCCCCAAACCCCTCCAAGACTCCCCAAAACTCCCCAAAATCCCCCCAAAACCCCCCCAAAAACCCCTCCAGACCCCCCAAAACCGACCCAGACCCCTCCAGCCCCCCCCAAATCCCCCTCCAGACCCCCCAAGCTCCCCCCCAAAGCCTCCAGACCCCCCATAAAACCCCCTCCGAAGCCCCCAGACCCCCCTACAACCCTCCCAAAGCTCCCCAGACCTCCCCAAATCCCGCCAAACCCTCACAAACGCCCCCCCAAAAACCCCCCAAAAACCCCTCCAGACCCCCCAAAGACCGGCCCAGATCCCCCCAGCCCCCCAAAAAAAACCCCCAAAACCCCTCCAGACCCCCCAAATCCCCCTCCAGACACCCCCAGACCCCCCAAAGCCCCCAGACCACCCCTAAAACCCTCCCAAAGAGCCCCACCAAAGCCCCCCAGACCTCCCCCAATCCCGCCAAACCCTCACAAACGCCCCCCAAAAACCCCCCAAAAACCCCCCAAAAACCCATCCAGACCCCCCCAAAAACCCCCTCAGACCCCCCCAACCCCCCCCCAGCCCCCCCCCCCCGAAGCCCCCAGCCCCACTCACGCTGGCCCCCCGCCTTCATGGGGTTGCCCAGGTCGCAGACCAGGGGGCTCGAGCCGTTGCCCCCCCCCAGCTCGCAGCTCAGGGCCGAGAAATTCTGGGGAGGGGGACAGAGAGAAATGGGGGGGGGGGGGGGTCAGGGTTGGTGAGTGACCCCCCCTGGACCCCCAATTCACCCCCCCCCCCCCATATCCGGGAGCCCCCAGACCGCCCAAGCCCCCCCAAATGCCCTCCCCTCAATATCCATGGCCCCCTCCCCACCTTGAGGGTGCCCCCCAAGCCCCCAGCCCCAAATGCCTGCAGCCCCCTCCCCATCTCCAGTGTGCCCCCCAGCCCCTCCAAACCCCCTCAAACCCCCTCCAAACCCCCAGACCCAAATACTTGTGACCCCCTCCCCACCTTCAGAGTGCGCTCCCAGCCCCTCCAAACACCCCCCAAACCCCCTCAAACCCCTCCAAACCCCCAGACCCCAATACCAGCAGCCCCCTCCCCTTCTCCAGTGTGCCCCCCCCCCGGCCCCCCAGACCCCTTCCCCAGGCCCAGGATGCCCCCCCAAACCCCCTCCCCTAATTCCTGTGACCCTGTCCCTACCCCCATGCTGCCCCCCCAGTCCCTCTAAACCCCCTCAAACCCCCCCAAACTCCCACTCCCCAATACCTGCAGCCCCCTCCCCAGTCCCGAGGTGCCCCCCCAGCCCCTCCAAACCCCCCCCCAAACCCCCAGACCCCAATACCAGCAGCCCCCTCCCCTTCTCCAGTGTGCCCCCCCCAGTCCCTCTAAACCCCCTCAAACCCCCTCAAACCCCTCCAAACCCCCAGACCCCAATACCAGCAGCCCCTCCTTGGTGCCCCCCGGTGCCCCCCGGTGCCCCCCTCACCCCGTGCGGCCCGCAGCACCCCCGAGTAGAGCGCGCCCGGGGGCGGCCGCAGGTGCAGCTCGGCCTCGTAGGCGCCGCCCTCGCCCACGTTCCGCGCCAGGAACGTCACATTGAGGGGGTTCCTGTCCCCCAGGAACACGGCCCGGCGGTCCCTGGACATTGGGGACATCATTGGGGACATTGGGGACATCCTAAACCACCCCCAGGAACGTCACATTGAGCGGGTTCCTGTCCCCCAGGAACACGGCCCGGCGGTCCCTGGGGACATTGGGGACATTGGGGACATTGGGGACATTGGGGACATCACCAGGAACGTCACATTGAGCGGGTTCCTGTCCCCCAGGAACACGGCCCGGCGGTCCCTGGGGACATTGGGACATCATTGGGGACATTGGGGACATCACCAGGAACGTCACATTGAGGGGGTTCCTGTCCCCCAGGAACACGGCCCGGCGGTCCCTGGGACATTGGGGACATCATTGGGGACATTGGGGACATCCTAAACCACCCCCAGGAACGTCACATTGAGCGGGTTCCTGTCCCCCAGGAACACGGCCCGGCGGTCCCTGGACATGGGGACATCATTGGGGACATTGGGGACATCGGGGACATCACCAGGAACATCACATTGAGGGGGTTCCTGTCCCCCAGGAACACGGCCCGGCGGTCCCTGGGACATTGGGGACATTGGGGACATCATTGGGGACATTGGGGACATCCTAAACCACCCCCAGGAATGTCACATTGAGGGGGTTGCTGTCCCCCAGGAACATGGCCCGGCGGTCCCTGGGACATTGGGGACATCATTGGGGACATTGGGGACATTGGGGACATCACCAGGAACGTCACATTGAGGGGGTTCCTGTCCCCCAGGAACACGGCCCGGCGGTCCCTGGGGACATTGGGGACATTGGGGACATTGGGGACATCACTGGGGACATTGGGGACATCACCAGGAACGTCACATTGAGGGGGTTCCTGTCCCCCAGGAACACGGCCCGGCGGTCCCTGGGGACATTGGGGACATTGGGGACATCACTGGGGACATTGGGGACATCACCAGGAACGTCACATTGAGCGGGTTGCTGTCCCCCAGGAACACGACCCGGCGGTCCCTGGGACATTGGGACATCATTGGGGACATTGGGGACATCCTAAACCACCCCCAGGAACGTCACATTGAGGGGGTTGCTGTCCCCCAGGAACACGGCCCGGCGGTCCCTGGGACATTGGGGACATCATTGGGGACATTGGGGACATTGGGGACATCACCAGGAACGTCACATTGAGGGGGTTCCTGTCCCCCAGGAACACGGCCCGGCGGTCCCTGGGGACATTGGGGACATTGGGGACATCATTGGGGACATTGGGGACATCCTAAACCACCCCCAGGAATGTCACATTGAGGGGGTTGCTGTCCCCCAGGAACATGGCCCGGCGGTCCCTGGGGACATTGGGGACATTGGGGACATTGGGGACATCACTGGGGACATTGGGGACATCACCAGGAACGTCACATTGAGGGCGTTCCTGTCCCCCAGGAACACGGCCCGGCGGTCCCTGGGACATGGGGACATTGGGGACATTGGGGACATGGGGGACATTGGGGACATTGGAGACATTGGGGACATGGGGGACATTGGGGACATTGGGGACATGGGGGACATTGGAGACATTGGGGACATGGGGGACATTGGGGGACATTGGGGACATGGGGGACATTGCCAGGGACATTCACAGAAACCCCCAGGGCCAGCCTGGGCACAGCCACCCCTTCCTGGTCCCGCTGTGTCCCCCCCCAGTCCCCCCAGTGTCCCCCCCCGTGTCCCCGGTGTCCCCCTGTGTCCCCCCGTGTCCCCCGGTGTCCCCCGGTGTCCCCCTTACGCGCTGGCCTCGAGCTGCAGGTCGGGCACGCAGACATTGTCCTCACAGTCCAGCTGGATGTGGGCCTGGGGACACGGGGACCAGCGCGGGGACATCAGAGGGGACAGCATGGGGGACATCAGGGACAGCACGGGGACAGCACGGGACATCAGAGGGGCGATGGGACAGTGGGGACACGTGGGACATTGGGGTGATGGGAGACATGGGGGACACAGGGACACTGGGTGGCACAGGGTGACACAGGGGTGACAGAGGGTGACACACAGGTGACACAGGTGACACACAGGTGCCATACCTTGGCCTCGAGGTGCGTGCGCGTGGCCGGGGACAGCAGGGTGACACAGGGTGACACAGAGGTGACACAGGGTAACACACAGATGACACATAGGTGACATGGGTGACACAGGTGACACACAGGTGCCATACCTTGGCCTCGAGGCGCGTGCGCGTGGCCGGGGACAGCAGCGGGGACAGTGGGGTGACACAGGGACACAGGGTGACATAGGGGTGACACACAGATGACACACAGGGTGACACAGGTGACACACAGGGTGACACACAGTGACACAGGTGACATACAGGTGACACAGAGGTGACACAGGTGACACACAGGTGACACAGGTGACATACAGGTGACACAGAGGTGACACAGGGTGACACAGGTGACACAGGCGACACACAGGGTGACAGTGCCGTACCTTGGCCTCGAGGCGCGTGCGCGTGGCCGGGGACAGCAGCGGGGACAGCCCCGGCGGGGGAGGGGACACGGCCGGGTCCAGGGCCAGGCTCAGCGACACCGGATGGGCGACAGCTTGTCCCGGAACTCGGACTCGTTCTGGGGACATTGGGGACATGGGGACACCATGGGGACAGCTTGTCCCGGAACTCGGACTCGTTCTGGGGACATCGGGGACATGGGGACACCATGGGGACAGCTTGTCCCGGAACTCGGACTCGTTCTGGGGACATTGGGGACACCATGGGGACACCATGGGGACAGCTTGTCCCGGAACTCGGACTCGTTCTGGGGACATTGGGGACACCATGGGGACACCATGGGGACAGCTTGTCCCGGAACTCGGACTCGTTCTGGGACATTGGGGACATGGGGACACCATGGGGACAGCTTGTCCCAGAACTCGGACTCGTTCTGGGGACATTGGGGACATGGGGACACCATGGGGACAGCTTGTCCCGGAACTCGGACTCGTTCTGGGGACATTGGGGACATGGGGACACCATGGGGACAGCTTGTCCCGGAACTCGGACTCGTTCTGGGGACATTGGGGACACCATGGGGACACCATGGGGACAGCTTGTCCCGGAACTCGGACTCGTTCTGGGGACATTGGGGACACCATGGGGACACCATGGGGACACCATGGGGACATTGGGGACAGCTTGTCCCGGAACTCGGACTCGTTCTGGGGACATTGGGGACATGGGGACATCGGGGGGGACACGGGGGGACAGGGAGGTGACATGAGGGGTCCCGGGGCTGTTTTGGGATATTTTGGGGCAGTTTTGGGGCAGTTTTGGGGGCAGTTTTGGGGCAGGTTTTGGGCTATTTTTGGGCAGTTTTCGGGGCAGTTTTGTGGCAGTTTTTGGGGCAGTTTTCGGGGCAGTTTTGGGGCAGTTTTGGGGTATTTTTGGGCTATTTTTGGGCAGTTTTTGGGGTATTTTTGGGGCAGGTTTTGGGGCAGTTTTGGGGCAGGTTTTGGGCTATTTTTGGGCAGTTTTCGGGGCAGTTTTGGGGTATTTTGGGGCAGTTTTGGGGCAGGTTTTGGGCTATTTTTGGGCAGTTTTCGGGGCAGTTTTGTGGCAGTTTTTGGGGCAGTTTTGGGGCAGGTTTTGGGCTATTTTTGGGCAGGTTTCGGGCAGTTTTGGGGTATTTTGGGGCAGTTTTGGGGCAGGTTTTGGGGTATTTTTTGGCAGTTTTTGGGCAGTTTTGGGGCTATTTTTGGGCAGTTTTTGGGGTATTTTTGGGGCAGTTTTTGGGGCAGTTTTGGGGCAGGTTTTGGGCTGTTTTGGGGCAGTTTTTGTGCAGTTTTTGCGCAGCTTTGGGGGTGTCGGGGCCCCCCTTACCCTGAGGAACACGGGCAGCGTGCGGCAGCGCGGGCTCCCCCCGTTGGGCACCTCCAGGCTCAGGTTCCGCGTGGGGAGGGGGGCGCCCCCCCCGCGCCCCCCCCCAGGAACAGCGCCCGCCGCGCCCCCCCCGGCCGGGCCCCGTCCACGCTCAGCTCCAGCGCCAGCCCTGGGGACAGCGAGGGGACACCGTGGGGACACCGTGGGGACACCGTGGGACACAATGGGGACACAATGGGGACACGGCGGGGACAGCCCCAGTATCCCCGTCCTGTCCCCATGGCTGCTGTGCCACCCTTGGGGACATGGGGACACAATGGGGACACGGCGGGGACAGCCCCAGTGTCCCCGTCCTGTCCCCACGGCTGCAGTGCCACCCTTGGGGAACACCGCGGGGACACAGGGACACGACCACCGGGGTGTCCCCTGGGGTGTCCCCATTTGTCCCCTCCATTGATGCCCGTGATGTCCCCTTTGTTCCCTCCATGTCCCCTGTCCCCCCACCATTGTCCCTCCTTTGTCCCCCCCAGGCGTCCCCTCCCCTGTCCCCTCCTGTCCCCCCCCAGTGTCCCCATGTCCCCTCACCGATGGGCCCGGGCAGGTGACGTCCGGAGGCGTTGAGGCAGAAGGTGACATTGATGCTGGGAGGGGACACACAGGGGTGGCAACCGTGTGTCCCCTCAGTGTCCCCTCAGTGTCCCCCTCCCGGACACCCAATGACCCCGCAGTGTCCCCAGTTCCCCCCGCAGTGTCCCCAACGCCCTCTCCCCGAGACCCTGGGAACCCCCAGTGTCCCCCTCCCAGTGTCCCCTCCCGGTGTCCCCCATGTCCTCTCCACTGTCCCCACCCTGTCCCCTGCTGTCCTCGCAGTGTCCCCACAGTGTCCCCACCCTGTTCCTGCTGTCCTCCTGCTGTCCCCACTGTCCCTACAGTGTCCTCCATTGTCCCTCTGCCCTGTCCTTGCCCTGTCCCCTCTCTGTCCCCTTGCTGGTCCCTGCAGTGTCCCCCTCCTTGTCCCCTCTCTGTCTCCTCCTTGTCCCCTTTCTGTCCCCTGCCTGTCCCCTCTCTGTCCCCCTGTTGTCCCCTCCCTGTCCCCATCCCTGTCCCCTCTTTGTCTCCCTGCTGTCCCAGTAGTGTCCCCTTGCTGTCCCCTCGCTGTCCCCATCGCTGTCCCCCTGTCACCCACCAGGACACGTGGTGGCCGCTGGCCAGGGCGCAGCCGCGCTCCTCGGGGTTGAACATGGAGGGGACGATGGCCAGGGTGGCGCTGGCGTGGACAATGGGGCGGCCCTGGGGTGACAATGGTGACAATGGTGACATTGGGGACAATGGGGACAATGGGGACATTGGGGACAATGGGGACAATGGGGGCATTTGGGACAATGGGGACATTGGGGACATTGGGGACAATGGGGACAATGGGACACTCACCTGTAAACCACGGCCGTGTCCGCCCCGAAGGCGCCAACCAGGAGATCTGTGGGGACAGGGGGGTCACCGGGGGGACACGGGGACACAGGGGGGACACTGGGGGACAGGGGGGTCACTGAGTGGGACACGGGGACACAGGGGGGGACACTGGGGGGCAGGGGGACATTGGGGGGACATGGGGACAGGGACGGGGACCAGGGGGGTCACTGAGAATGGGGACAGGGCCAAGGGGGAGTGACACAGGGGATGACAGAAGGTTACAGGGATGACACACAGGTGACACAGAGGTGACACAAGGGTGACACAGCGGTGACACAGGGGGTGACAGGGGTGACACAGGGATGACACAGGGGGTGACAGCGGTGACACAGCGGTGACACAGGGGGTGACACAGGGGTGACACAGGGATGACACAGGGGGTGACAGGGGTGACACAGCGGTGACACAGGGGGTGACACAGGGGTGACACAGGGATGACACAGGGGGTGACAGCGGTGACACAGCGGTGACACAGCCGCGTCCCGTCCCTCACCCGGGTACCCGTTGCCGTCCAGGTCGCTGTCCCCGCGCAGCGCGGGCCCCGAAGAAGTCGGGCTGGCCCCGGGGCGCCCCGTCCGCCGCCCCGCAGCACCGCGCGGGCCGGGGCCGCAGCCCCGCGCCCCCCCCCGGAAGATGAACACGAGCCCCCGGCGCCCCTCGGCCCCCAGCGGGGCCCCCACGGCCACGTCTGCAAATGGGGAGGGGGGGGGTCAGCGGGGGGAGCACCCCCAAAACAGCCCCGGGACCCCATAGACCCCCATAACCCTCCCGGAACCCCATAGATCCCCATAACAACCCCCGGAACCCCATAGACCCCCATAACCCCCCCCCGGAACCCCAAAGACCCCCATAACAACCCTGGAACCCCAAAGACCCCCATAACCCCCCCCGGAACCCCAAAGACCCCCATAACCCCCCCCGGAACCCAAAGACACCCCCATAACAATCCCCGGAACCCCAAAGACCCCCATAAACCCCCCCCGGAACCCCAAAGACCCCCATACCCCCCCCGGAACCCCAAAGACACCCATAACAACCCCCGGAACCCCATAGACCCCCACAACCCCTCCCGGAACCCCATAGACCCCCATAACAACCCCCGGAACCCCAAAGACCCCCATAACAACCCCCGGAACCCCATAGACCCCCACAACCCCTCCCGGAACCCCATAGACCCCCATAACAACCCCCGGAACCCCATAGACCCCCATAACCCTCCCCCCCCCATGGCCCCCCATAAATTGCCTTATACCCCCCCCCATAAACCCCCCAAGTAACCCCTCCATAAACCCCCCAAAACCCCCCATGCTCCCCCATAAATTCCCTTATGCCCCCCCATAAACCCCCTGTAAATCCCCCCAGTTTCCCCCCATAAGCCCCCCAATAACCTCCCACTAAACCCCCCATAATCCCCCCCTAATTCCCTGTTTCCCCCCCTTTTGTCCACCGGTACCGTTGTATCCGTCCCGGTCCAGGCCCCTCCCGGTCCCGTTTTGCCCCCCGGTACATTGTCCCCCCGGTCCCTCGGTACCATTGTAGCCCCCCCCAGTTCCGGTACGTTGTATCCGTCCCGGTCCAGGTCTCCCCCGCATTCCCATTCCCACCCCCGGTACCCCCCCCCCCCCCCCCCCGGTCCCGGTACCGTTGTATCCGTCCCGGTCCGTTCCCCCCCCGGTACCATTGTGCCCCCCCCCGGTCCCGGTACCGTTGTATCCATCCCGGTCCAGGTCCCGTTCCCCCCCCCCGGTACCATTGTAGCCCCCCCCGGTGCCGGTACCGTTGTAGTCCGTCCCGGTCCCGTTATCCCCCCCCGGTACCATTGTCCCCCCGGTGCCGGTACCGTTCCCCCCCCCCCCCCCCGGTGCCGGTACCGTTGTATCCGTCCCGGTCCCGTTCTCCCCCCCGGTACCGTTCCCCCCCCCCCCCCCCCCAGTGCCGGTACCGTTGTATCCATCCCGGTCCCGTTCCCCCCCCGGTACCGTTCCCCCCCCCCCCCCGGTGCCGGTACCGTTGTATCCGTCCCGGTCCCGTTATCCCCCCCCCGGTACCATTGTCCCCCCCGGTGCCGGTACCGTTCCCCCCCCCCCCCCCGGTGCCGGTACCGTTGTATCCATCCCGGTCCCCGTTCCCTCCCCGGTACCGTTCCCCCCCCCCCCCCGGTGCCGGTACCGTTGTATCCGTCCCGGTCCAGGTCGCCGAGCGCGCGATGGCGCTGCCGAACCGCCCGAACTCGTGCGTGCCCGTGAGGGCGGCGGGGGCGGCGGGCGGGGCCCCCCCCCGCTGCAGGTACAGGTACACGCGGCCCAGCTCCCGCGCCCCCCCCGCGGCGCCGTTGGTACGGGCCATGAACAGCGGGGCCCCCACCAGCAGGTCCGTGAGCCTGGGGGGGCGCACGGTGAATTGGGGGGGGCACGCAGTGAGTTTGGGGGGCACACGGTGAGTTTGGGGGGGCACACGGTGAATTTGGGGGGGCACACCAGTGAATTTGGGGGGGCACACAGTGAGTTTGGGGGGGCACACGGTGAATTTGGGGGGTACTGAGCCATTGGGGGGGCACACAGTGAATTTGGGGGGGCACACAGTGAATTTGGGGGGGTACTGAGCCATTGGGGGGGCACAAAGTGAATTTGGGGGGCTACTGAGCCATTGGGGGGGCATAGAGTGAATTTGGGGGGGGCACAGAGTGAATTTGGGGGCTCACTGAGCCATTGGGGGGGCACAGGGTGAGATGGGGGGGCACTGAGCCATTTGGGGGGGGTCACTGAGCCATTTGGGGGGGGCACACAGTGAGTTTGGGGGTCACTGAGCCATTTGGGGGACACCCGGGGGGGGGGGCTCTGAGTGACTTTTGGGGGTGAGGGAGGGGGCACAGAGCAATTTTGGGGGGCACCATTTGAGGCATTTGAGGGGTCCCAGGGGTGTCCCGGGTGTCTCGGGGGTGTCCCGGGGGTCTCGGGGGGTTTCAGGGGTCTCAGGGGTATCCCGGGGGGTCCCGGGGGTCTCGGGGGGTCTCAGGGGTGTCCCGGGGGGTCCCGGGGGTCTCGGGGGGTCCCGGGGGTCTCGGGGGGTTTCAGGGGTCTCAGGGGTATCCCGGGGGGTCCCGGGGGTCTCGGGGGGTCTCAGGGGTGTCCCGGGGGGTCCCGGGGGTCTCGGGGGTCCCGGGGGTCCCTCACCCGTCGTTGTTGACGTCGGTGGCGGCCACGGCGTAGCCAAAGTACGAGGCCATCTGGGGGGGGGGGGGGAGGGGACAAAACGGGGTGAGGGGGGGGCCATAACGATCCCCCCCCCCCCCCCCCAAATTCCGTGTGTCCCCCCCACCCCTCCATGGGGACCCCACACCCCATTTTAGAGCCCCCCCCCCCCCCCCCATTTGAGACCCCCTTTTCGCCTCCCTGGTGTCCCCCCCTCCCCACCTCGGGTCCCTTTTGGGTCCCCCCAAATCCCCCCAGAATCCCCCCAAGACCCCTTCAGGACCCCCAAAACCCCCCCAGGGCCCCCCCCAGGTCCCTCCAGGACCACCCAGAGCCCCCCAAGACACCCCCAGGACCCCCCAAGACCCCCAAATTCCCCCAGACCCCCCGTCCTCACCTGCTCCCCCGAGAAGTTGTACAGGGACTTCATGTTGGTGCCATTGAGGATGGTGACCTGGGGACACCGAGGGGACACCGAGGGGACACTGAGCCAGCGGGGGGGGGGACACGGGCACCGTGACCCCCCCGGTGTCCCCCCATGTCCCCTTTGTGTCCCCTTTGTGTCCCCAATGTTCCGAATGTACCAGGATGGAGCCGTTGTGTCCCCCCCCATGTCCCTCTTTGTGACCCCTTTGTGTCCCCAGTGTCCCCACATTGTCCCCCTTTGTGTCCCCAATGTCCCCTTTGTGTCCCCCCCCAGTGCTCCCCAGTGTCCCCTTTGTGCCCCCCATGTCCCCCCGTTTGAGTCCCCTTTGTGTCCCCAATGTCCCCTTTATGTCCCCTTTATGTCCCCCACATTGTCCCCTTTGTGTCCCCCCCAGTGTCCCCTTTGTGTCCCCCTCTTTGTGCCCTCTATGTCCCCCAATTTGAGTCCCCTTTGTGTCCCCCCCAGTGTCCCCTTTGTGTCCCCCCCAGTGTCCCCCACATTGTCCCCTTTGTGTCCCCCCTGGTGTCCCCTGTGTGCCCCCCCCTTTGTGCCCCTCATGTCCCCTCTGTGTCCCCTCCATGTCCCCAGTGTCCCCTTTGTGTCCCCTTTGTGTCCCCCCCTGTGTCCCCCCCATGTCCCCTCTGTGTCCCCTCCATGTCCCCAGTGTCCCCTTTGTGTCCCCTTTGTGTCCCCCCCTGTGTCCCCCCCATGTCCCCTCTGTGTCCCCTCCATGTCCCCAGTGTCCCCTTTGTGTCCCCTTTGTGTCCCCCCCCCCGTGTCCCCTCTTACGTAGCCGTAGGTGAGGTTGCCCTTGGGGACACCGGGCCACAAAGTCTGTGGGGACAAAGAAGGGACCAAGGGACGCGCTCAGGTGTGGCCGGAGGGACACAATGGCCGTGCCACCCTCGCGCGCCACCCGCTGTCACCCACCTTGCGTGGTGTCACCGCTGAACTCCCCGACTGTCACCGAGTAACCTGGGGGGGGGAGAGAGAGAGAGTGTCACCTGCGTGTCACCTGCGTGTCACCTGTGTGTCACCTGCGTGTCACCCATGTATGTAGCTGTCCCCATGTCACCCATGTGTCCCCAAGTGTCACTCATGTGGCTGTCTCCATGTCTCCCATATAGCTGTCCCCTTGTCCCCAATGTCCCCAAGTGTCACCCATGTAGCTGTCGTCGTGGCTGGGCTGCGCCTGCTGCGTCTGGAGCCACTCCCATGTCCCTGTGTCCCCATGCCCCCCATGTCCCCAAGCTGTCCCCATGCCCCCCAGGTGTCCCCAATGTCCCCAAGTGTCACCCATGTAGCTGTTGTCGTGGCTGGGCTCTGCCTGGTGCATCTGGAGCTGTCCCTGTGTCTCTGTGTCCCCATGTCCCCCATGCCCCCCAGTGTCCCCAATGTCCCCAATGTCCCCAGCTGTCACCCATGTAGCTGTCGTCGTGGCTGGGCTGCGCCTGCCGTGTCTGGAGCCGTCTGTGTGTCCCTGTGTCCCCATGTCCAGAGTGTCCCCATGCCCCGCAGGTGTCCCCAGTGTCCCTAGTGTCCCCAATGTCCCCACGTCCCCAGCTGTCACCCATGTAGCTGTCCCCATGTCCCCCATGTGTCCCCAGCTGTCACCCATGTAGCTGTCCCCATGCCCCCCAGTGTCCCCAATGTCCCCAATGTGTCCCCATGTCACCCATGTAGCTGTCGTCGTGGCTGGGCTGCGCCTGCCGCGTCTGGAGCCATTCCCATGTCCCTGTGTCCCCATGTCCCCAAGCTGTCCCCTGTGTCCCCCATGTCCCCCAGGTGTCCCCAATGTCCCCATGTCACCCATGTAGCTGTCCCCATGTCCCCAATGTCCCCATGTCACCCATGTAGCTGTCGTCGTGGCTGGCTGCGCCTGCCGCGTCTGGAGCTGTCCCGGCACCTCCTGGATCAGGTACTCGGGGAAGTTCCCGGCCGTGATCTGCTCCTGGGTGGCCGACATCACCTGCCCTGGGGACAGGGGACACCTCAGCACCCTTGGGGACACTGGGGACACTGTCCGGGGACACCTCACACCGACATCACCTGCCCTGGGGACAGGGGACACCTCAGCACCCTTGGGGACACTGGGGACACTGGGGACACTGTCCGGGGACACCTCAGACATCACCTGCCCTGGGGACAGGGGACACCTCAGCACCCTTGGGGACACTGGGGACACTGGGGACACTGCCCAGGGACACCTCAGACATCACCTGCCCTGGGGACAGGGGGACACCTCAGCACCCTTGGGGACACTGGGGACACTGGGGACACTGCCCAGGGACACCTCAGACATCACCTGCCCTGGGGACAGGGGACACCTCAGCACCCTTGGGGACACTGGGGACACTGGGGACACTGCCCAGGGACACCTCAGACATCACCTGCCCTGGGGACAGGGGACACCTCAGCACCCTTGGGGACACTGGGGACACTGGGGACACTGGGGACACTGCCCAGGGACACCTCAGACATCACCTGCCTTGGGGACAGGGGACACCTCAGCACCCTTGGGGACACTGGGGACACTGCCTGGGGACACCTCACACCGACATCACCTGCCCTGGGACAGGGGGACACCCTCAGCACCCTTGGGGACACTGGGGACACTGGGGACACTGTCCGGGGACACCTCAGACATCACCTGCCCTGGGGACAGGGGACACCTCAGCACCCTTGGGGACACTGGGGACACTGGGGACACTGTCCGGGGACACCTCAGACATCACCTGCCCTGGGGACAGGGGACACCTCAGCACCCTTGGGGACACTGGGGACACTGCCCGGGGACAGCTCACACATCACCTGCCCTGGGGACAGGGGGACACCTCAGCACCCTTGGGGACAATGGGGACACTGGGGACACTGCCCAGGGACACCTCAGACATCACCTGCCCTGGGGACAGGGGACACCTCAGCACCCTTGGGGACACTGGGGACACTGGGGACACTGCCCAGGGACACCTCAGACATCACCTGCCCTGGGGACAGGGGACACCTCAGCACCCTTGGGGACACTGGGGACACTGCCTGGGGACACCTCACACCGACATCACCTGCCCTGGGGACAGGGGACACCTCAGCACCCTTGGGGACAATGGGGACACTGGGGACACTGGGGACACTGCCCAGGGACACCTCAGACATCACCTGCCCTGGGGACAGGGGACACCTCAGCACCGCCTGGTGGCCTTGGGGACACTGCCTGGGGACAGGGACACTGCCCAGGGACAGCTCACACATCAGCTGCTCCGGGGACAGGGACACCTCGGCACCTTTGGGGACAAGGGACAAGGACAACAGGGAGGGGACAGGGAGGGCAGGGGGGACACAATGGGGACACACAGGGACAGTGGGGGACAAGCAGAGGACAGGGGGACAGGTAGGGGACACGCAGGGGACACCCAGGGGACAATGGGGACACCCAGGGGACACCCAGGGGACACGCAGGGGACACCCAGGGGACAATGGGGACACCCAGGGGACACAATGGGGACACCCAGGGGACGGTGGGGACACCCAGGGGACAGGCCCGGGTGGGGCGGGGGTCTCACCTTGCCAGAAGAAGCTGCCGGGCCCCCCCAGGAGCACCCCGCCCGGTCTGCAGAGACAGCGGGACCCCCCCTCAGCGGGGCTGGACCCCCAAAAAACCCCCCGGGAACCCCCAAAAACCCCACAGGACCCCCCCTCAGCGGGGCTGGACCCCCCAAAACCCCCCCAAAACCCCCTAAAAACCCTCCAGAACCCCCCAAACTCCCCCCAGGACCTCCCTAAAAACCCCAACCTGAACCAGGACCCCCCAAAAACCCCCCAGAACCCTCAAAACACCCCCTAGGACCCCCCAAACTTCCCCCAGGACCTCCCTAAAAACCCCAACCTGAACCAGGACCCCCCAAACCCCCCAGAACTCCCCCAAAACCCCCAGAACCACCCCGAAACCCCCCCCAAAATCCCCCCCAGGACCCCCAAGCTCCCCCCAGGATCCCCCTAAAAACCCCAACCTGAACCAGGACCCCCCAAACCCCCCAGAAACCCCCCAAACCCTCAGAACTCCCCCAAAATCCCCCAGAACCCCTCAAAACACCCCTAGGACCTCCCAAACTCCCCCCAGGACCCCCCTAAATACCCCAACCTGAACCAGGACCCCCCCAAAACCCCCCAGGACCCCCCCTAAAAACCCCCCAGGACCCCCCCAAACCCCCCCTGAACCCCTCAAAACACCCCTAGGACCTCCCAAACTCCCCCCAGGACCCCCCTAAATACCCAAATGTGAACCAGGACCCCCCCAAAACCCCCCAGGACCCCCCTAAAAACCCCCCAGAACCCCCCCTAAAAACCCCCCAGGACCCCCCCAAACCCCCCCTGAACCCCTCAAAACACCCCTAGGACCTCCCAAACTCCCCCCAGGACCCCCCTAAATACCCAACCTGAACCAGGACCCCCCCAAAACCCCCCAGGACCCCCCAGTCCCACCTGTGTGAAGTCGGCGCTGAAGCCCCCCTGGCAATAGCCCTGCCCGGCCGCCGAGTTCAGGTCTGGGGGGACACGGGGGGCGTCAGGGGGTCCCGGGGGGGGTCTGGGGGTGCCACCCCCTCCCCAAAGACCAGGCAGGGCTTGGGGGAACCCGAGGGGTCTGGGGGACACAGAGCCCTGGGGGTTTTGGAGGGTTTTTTGGGGGGGGGTTTCGGGTGATTTTGGGGGTTTTGGGGCAGTTTTGGGGTCCCACCTGAGCAGCAGCGAGGACAGGGGGTCCCGGGGGGTTTGGGGGCTTTTTGGGGGGTCATTTTGGGGGTTTTTGGGTGGTTTTGGGGCTTTTTGGATGGTTTTGAGGTGTTTTGGGGTCCCACCTGAGCAGCAGAGAGGACAGGGGGTCCCGGGGGGGGGTTTTGGGGTGGTTTTGGGGGTTTAGGGGGTCCGGGGGTCCCACCTGAGCGGCAGGGATGACAGGGGGTTTGGGGGTGGTTTTGGGGTGTTTTGAGGTGTTTTGGGGTGTTTTTGGGATGGTTTTGGGGTGTTTTTGGAGTGTTTTTGGAGTGTTTTTTGGGTGTTTTGGGGCATTTTTGGGGTCCCACCTGAGCGGCAGGGATGACTGGGGGTTTTGGGTGTTTTTGGGGTGTTTTTGGGGGTGTTTTTGGGGTGTTTTTGGGGGGGGTTTGGGGAGTTTTTGGGGTGTTTTTTGGGTGTTTTGGGGCAGTTTTGGGGTCCCACCTGAGCGGCAGGGATGACTGGGGGTTTTGGGGTGTTTTTGGGGGTGTTTTGGGGGGTGTTTTGGGGCAGTTTTGGGGTCCCACCTGAGCGGCAGGGATGACAGGGGGTTTTGGGGTGTTTTTGGGGTGTTTTTGGGGTGTTTTTGGGGTGTTTTTTGGGTGTTTTTGGGCAGTTTTGGGGTCCCACCTGAGCGGCAGGGATGACTGGGGGTTTTGGGGTGTTTTTGGGGTGTTTTTGGGGTGTTTTTGGGGTGTTTTTGGGCAGTTTTGGGGTCCCACCTGAGCGGCAGGGATGACAGGGGGTTTTGGGGTGTTTTTGGGGTGTTTGTTGGGTGTTTTTGGGCAGTTTTGGGGTCCCACCTGAGCGGCAGGGATGACAGGGGGTTTGGGGGTGTTTTTGGGGTGTTTTTGGGGTGTTTTTTGGGTGTTTTGGGCAGTTTTGGGGTCCCACCTGAGCGGCAGGGCGCGTACTCCACGAACTTGGAGAAGTTGCCCAGGGACAGGAAGCAGGAGCCCACCGGCTCCCGCGCCCCCCCCTCCTCCTTGGGGGGGCTCCAGCTGTACAGGGGGGCGCACGCCTGGGGGGGGGGGCACCAAAGGGTCACCACACGGTGTGCCCCCGGCGTCCCCAGTGCTGTCCCCAATGTCCCCGTTACCAGGACGGAGCCATTATGGGCCCAGTGCCCCCCCAGTGTCCCCCCAATGTCCCCAGTGCTGTCCCCATAGCAGGATGGATCCATTGTGTCCCCCCCAGCGTCCCCAGTGTCCCCATACCAGGATGGAGCCATTGTGTCCTCAGTGTCCCCATGTTCCCAGTGTCTCCAATGTCCCCAGCGTCCCCATGGGTGTCCCCAGTGGTGTCCCCAATGCCCCCAGTGTCCCCATTGGTGTCCCCACTGTCTCCCCAAGGTACCAGGATGGAGCCGTTGTGTCCCCCCCAGTGTCCCCAATGTCCCCATTGTCCCCAGTGTCCCCATACCAGGATGGAGCCATTGTGGGCCCTCATGGTGGCCCCAATGTCCCCCCAATGTCCCCAATGTCCCCATACCAGGATGGAGCCGTTGTGTCCCCAATGGCCCCCATGCTCCCCATGCCCCCCATGTCCCCATGGTGTCCCCATACCAGGATGGAGCCATTGTGGGCCCTCACGGTGGCCCCAATGTCCCCCCAATGTCCCATACCAGGATGGAGCCATTGTGTCCCCCATGGCCCCCCCATGTCCCCAATGTCCCCATGGGTGTCCCCAATGTCCCCATACCAGGATGGAGCCGTGTGTCCCCAATGGCCCCCATGTCCCCAATGTCCCCATTGTCCCCAATGTACCAGGATGGATCCTTTGTGGGCCCTCACGGTGGCCCCCATGCCCCCCATGCCCCCCATGTCCCCAATGTCCCCAGTGTCCCCATTGGTGTCCCCAATGTACCAGGATGGAGCCGTTGTGTCCCCAATGTCCCCAATGTCCCCATACCAGGATGGAGCCGTTGTGTCCCCTATGGCCCCCATGCCCCCCATGCCCACCATGTCCCCAATGTCCCCCCCAGTGTCCCCAATGTCCCCATACCAGGATGGAGCCGTTGTGTCCCCTATGGCCCCCATGCCCCCCATGTCCCCAATGTCCCCCCCAGTGTCCTAATGTCCCCATACCAGGATGGAGCTGTTGTGTTCCCCCCATGCCCCCCATGCCCCCCATGCCCCCCTATGTCCCCAGTGTCCCCACTGGTGTCCCCATACCAGGATGGAGCCGTTGTGTCCCCCCCATGCCCCCCATGCCCCCCATGCCCCCCATGTCCCCAGTGTCCCCACTGGTGTCCCCATACCAGGATGGAGCCGTTGTGTCCCCCATGCCCCCCATGCCCCCCTATGTCCCCAGTGTCCCCCCCCCCGGTGTCCCCAGTGTCCCCATACCAGGATGGAGCCATTGTGTCCCCCCCATGCCCCCCATGTCCCCAGTGTCCCCAGTGTCCCCATACCAGGATGGAGCCGTTGTGTCCCCCCCATGCCCCCCATGCCCCCCACGCCCCCCCATGTCCCCAGTGTCCCCCCCGGTGTCCCCATACCAGGATGGAGCCATTGTGGGCCCTCACGGTGGCCCCGAACCACTGCAGGGATTTGAACTCCACGGGCTCGGCGCCGTCGCTGCTGTTGCCCCCAAAGTCGTGGGTGCGGGTCCCTGGGGGGGGCACGGGGCTCAGGGGACCCCCAGGGACCCCCCCGGCCACCCCCGCCCCCCCCGTGCCCCCAAGCCCCCCCTGGATCCCCCCCCCCCCATCCCCGGGTTGATCATTAATGGAGCCAAGGCCATCGGGGGGTGGGGACAGCGACAGGGGACAGTGACACGGTGACATGGTGACACGGTGACACCGAGCTGCCCTGGGGGGTCCTGGGGGTCTCTGGGTGCCACCGCTGTGGCTCTGTCCCCTCGGGGTGTCCCCAGCCCTGTCCCCACATGCTTGGGGGGTCTGGCTCCCCCCTTTTGTCCCCATTCCTGTCCCCCGGCCATGGCCTGGGACTGTCCCTGTTCCTGGAGGTTTGTCCCTGTCCCTGTCCCCATTCCTGGGGGTCCTGTCCCCATTCCTGGGGGTTTTTGACCCCATGGTGTCCCTGTCCCCGTTCCTGGGGGGATTTGTCCCTGTCCCCATTCCTGGGGGATTTGTCACTGTCCCTGTCCCTGGGGGTTTGTCCCCACAGTGTCCCTGTCCCCATTCCTGGGGGTCCTCTCCCCACCCCGTGTCCCTGTTCCTGAGGGTCCTGCTCCCCCCACATGTCCCCATTCCAGGTGTGTCCCCTTCTCGTCCCCATGTCCCCATGCCCCCCCATGTCCCCTCATGTCCCCCCATGTCCCCCGGTGTCCCCTCACCGATGTGGTCGAAGTCGATGGGGGCGCAGGCGCCGCCCTGGGGGGGCCAGGGGCAGTGGAACACGGCGCCCCCCTGGGTCACGTTGGGCTGGCTCGTGTTTGCCTTGGGGGCGCCCACCAGGACGCTGACACTGGGGGGACACGGGGGGGGACACGGGGGGGGGGTGGTGACACCGCGGGGACATCGCGCTTGTCACCCGCGGGGCACCGGGGGGGCGGCAAGGCCGTGCCTGGGCCCCCCTCGATGTTCGGGACCCCCCCCCAGATGTTCGGGTCCCCCCCAGATGTTCGGGTCCCTCCCCAGATGTTCGAGACCCCTCCAGATGTTCGGGACCCCCCCCCCAGATGTTCGGGTCGTCTCCCCCCGATGTTCGGGACCCCCCGAGCCCCCACCGAGCCCCCCGGGGGCAGCTCCCGGCTCCGGTTACAGGAAACGCTCCGGGCTCGGGGCAGGGGGGCCCCGGGACCCCCGGCGGGGCCGGCGCGGGGGGGACACGGGGAACACCGGGGGGACACCGGAGGGACACGGGGGGACACGGGGGGGTCCGGGGCTCGGCCCCGCTCGGGACCCCCCGGACGGGCCGGACCCTCCCGGTTCCCGTTCCCGGCCCCGCTTCCTGCCTCCCATTCCCGGTTCCCGTCCCGGTTCCGATTCCGCTGTCCCGGCCCGGTCCCCGTTCCCGCCTCGCTCCCTCTGCCCGTCCCGCTCCCGGTCACACTTTCGGTCCCGGTTCGCACTTCCCGTTCCCGTTCCGCCGCCCCCGCCCGTTCCCGTTGGCCTTTCCCATTCCCGGTGCCGCTGTCGCGTTCCCGTTATCCCGCTCCGGGGCCGGCCCTCCGCGCCCCGCCCCGCTCCGCGGCCGCTCCCCGTCCCACCGGGGCCGCTCCCGCTCCCCGGTGCCCGGTTCCCGTCCCTGTCCCGGCCCCGTCCCTCGCTCCCTCCGTCCCTCGCTCCCTCCGTCCCTCGCTCCGTCCGTTCCCGTCCCCGCT